ACCACTGTTTAATGAAAAAGAAAAACAAAAGCTATCATCCATCTATCCATCCATCCATCCATCCATCCCAGACTGAATATAAATACATTATTATTATTATTATTATTATTATTATTATATACAGTGCATTAAATAAATATAAATAGCTAAAAGTATAATGTATATAACCACAAACATATTTAAATATTTAATGTATAGAATTTTGAAATAGAATACATATTATTATTATTATTATTATTATTAAATACACAAAAATTTTGTGAGAGGTGCGTGTATACAATTCTTAAGTTTAGATTTCTTATGGGAGTGAGAACTTAATCTCCATTTGTGAAACAGGAAAAAACTCATCTAGTACAGTTTGTCCTTATAAGGACAATGTCTCGATATATGAACTACAAAAGCATGGGAACACTGCTTGATGCATCAGTGGAGACACATATACACAGTCTAACTCACAGACAAACAGAGTGGGCTGCCAGGTCAAGCCGGTGCAGTCATCACTAGCAGGTTTAGTAAGTATCTGAACTACAAATCCAATAGGCTACAGTTCTGCTGTTAGTCTCATCAATCACCTGTTCCTTCCATCAGAGATACGAAACACCCACACGCAAACATCATCAACAGACACCAAACCTATTCACTGAACCGCTGCAAAGTCTGGCCATTCCTGACCCCCACAGACGGACGGCCAAAAACTGAGTAAAGGACATTGAGACCATAATCATCCACTACTGGCTACAAATCAGACGAACAGATGCCCATTTGCTCTCCATGTCCATAGCTAATTCAAATCTGGTCTACCATACATACAAAATTAGAGACACTGCCAAACGACCCCTCCAAATTAAAATCCCAGTGACTTCAGCCGATTATACTAAAGTGTATCCACCTGAGCCGAGGTCAGTGTGGGGAAAAGCGTGGTAATCGAAAGCTGCGCACAGCTACAGGCCTCGAGGCTTCTGGCCCCTGTGCTCCTCCTCCAGGAGTGAACCTGTGGACAGATGAGATAAACTCATTTTGGAAATGGAGCGTTTTTTATTTCAGTCTAAAACACGTCTCCATTTTCCATAACTCCTGCCTTAATTGGATTCCGGGGGCTAATGTCTTTCCCAGCTTTAGCTTCTCCCCCCAAATGTTTTAATTTTTTTGTTCTTTCTTCTGACTCCCGTTGACTTTCTTCCCTGTTTCTACTTCTCCAAAATTGTGGTCGCCCTCAACCTGCAGAGAGGTCATTAGGATTAGCCGATCACTGCAAACCTGTCTTCACATCATACCACATCACATACTTTATGCAAAAATGGTTCGGAATGGTTTCGGAAAAGTTTGATATTTTGAACTGATTTTAAAAATATCTTGCTTTCATCTGTTATGTGTTTGTTGTGTTTGAAGCAACTTGAAAATCTGTTAGTATGGAATTCTCAGTCATTTAATGTATGATGCCCTATTTTACACTGTAACCATTTTAACACCCATCAAGTGCATGGTATAGTGTAGATTTTGGAAATCTTATTCACATGAATACTGTATGTTTCAAAATTAGCATAAAAATGTTTGCTATTTTAACACATTTCAAAATGTAATTTCTACCTGCGATGGATCAGCAGACATTACAGCCATTATCAGTGTCACATGACCCTTCAGAAATCATTCTACAGTAATATGCTGATTTGATGCTCATTAAAAAAAAAAAAAATTAATTACTTAAATGCTACTGACCCCAAACTTTTACATGGTAGTGTACATGGATGGAAACCCAGCTATTATAGTTGTTAAATGTTAGTTCCGTCTACCCTCCATCTTCAAAGCAACTTTTCTGTCATTTCACACACATACATACACAAACAGATGTGCACTGGTTCAGCTGAAAACCGTACTGCTGATGTACATGAATGGATGGCATACTTGGGATTAAGACTAATGCTCATTGTCAGTGTTGGGGAAAGTTACTTTTAAAAGTAATGCATTACAATATTGCGTTACTCCCTAAAAAAGTAACTAATTACGTTACTTAGTTACTTTTTATGGAAAGTAATGCGTTATATTATTTTTGCGTTACTTTCGCGTTACTTTTTAAATATAAGCAGGGCTTGATTGTTTTTAATATAAGAAGTTCTATTTAGAGCAAATGTAAATGCCCTTTCACACCAAAAAGTGTAATGAATAAACCTCAAGCAAAAGTAAATTCACGTCTGTACAGTAGAACGCAGGAGAAGAAACACTCTTCAGCAATAAAAAAACAAAGCACAATTGTTAGTTTCTCTAAAGTAATTTTTGCTTATTAGTATGGTTGAACTGGATCACCAAAGGTCCGCAGCAAAGCCATTGGATAATAAAA